GAACCAAGTAGTAGATCACTTGTCTAGGCTAGAGAACAAAAACATTTTCTATGACATGAAAGATATTAAGGAGGAATTCCCTGACGAGAAAATATTCTTTACCACGGTAGTGCCGTGGTATACTGACATAGTTAACTTACTTGTTAGTGGTATTGTGCCTCCAGATTTATCTTACCAAGGCCGAAAAAAGTTCAGACATGATGTGCTCCATTATTATTGGGATGAACCGTTCTTATTCAAACAATGTGGAGATCAAATAATCCGGAGGTGCGTCCCCGAAGAGGAACATAATGATATTATATTTCATTGTCATACATCCTCGTGTGGAGGGCACTTTGGTGGAATGAGGACTACTGCAAATGTTCTCCAATTTGGCTTCTATTAGCCCACCTTATTCAAGGATGTGCAAGACTTCTATAAGTCATGCGATCATTTCCAACGCACCGATAATGTATCGAAGAGAAATGAGATGCCATGGCAAAATATTTTGGAAGTTCAACTCTTCGATGTGTGGGGAATCGATTTTATATGAACATTCCCATTATCCTTTGGCGATCTATACATACTTTTAGCTGTGGACTACGTATCCAAATAGGCCGAGGTTGTGGAAACACATAGAAATGACTCAAAGACCATGCAAAAATTCTTGCACAAAAACATATTCACGTTTTTTGGATTTTCAAGAGTAATTATCAGTGATGAGGGCACCTAATTTGACAACAAATTAATTACCAAGGTGCTGCAAAGATACGGGGTGCGTAATAAATTTGCCACGGCAAACCACCCCAAGACCAAAGGGAAGGCTGAGGTCTCCAACCGCGAGATCAAGTAGATACTTGAGAAGGTGGTCAACCCAAGAAGAAAAGATTGATCGTCAAAGCTCAATGAGGCATTGTAGGCTTATCGCACATCATTTAAAACACCATTAGGGATGTCTCCATTCAAATTAGTTTATGGCAAGGCATGTCATTTGCCTGTGGAACTATAACACAAACCATTTTGGGCCATCAAGAAACTTAACATAGATGCACAACTTGCCGGAGAAAGGAGGTTACTGGAGCAAATTGAGATGGAAGAATTTATAGCCCAATCATATGAGAATGCCCATCTCTATAAGGAGAAAACAAAAAAGTGGCATGATATAAAAATTTTGCCACGGTAATTTTTTCCTGGCCAACAAGTACTACTCTACAATTCAAGGATCAAGTTGTTTCCAGGCAAGTTGATGTCAATATGTTCAGGACCTTTCTTAGTACACCAGGTGCATAGCCACGACGCAATATAAATCAACAACTTGGAGAATGTGACAACCTTTAAAGTGAATGAAAAAAGGTTGAAGGCCTATAATGAAGCATCCATCTTGCGAGATAAGTCATCATTATTGCTCCATGACGTCTAAGAGTTTACCCCTACAATCTGAATAATTATTTTCTCGGCAAAAATATTTTGCATTATGTACATAAATAATTTTCCTTTCTTTTAATTTGCACGAGTTATTTTATATTTTATTCACTAACTTTGTTTTTTAGATATTTTTTATACATGGCAGTTTAGGAATGGGGCTCACATATTATAGGAAGAGCAAAACCCTAGTAAATTATTTTGGGCGGAAACTTTGAGAGGGGAAAATCTTTTTCTTTAATATTTTATTCCTTTTTATTTTCAAACCATCCAATCAAAATAGTTTTTTTATTTATTACCCCAATCTTACTTTTACTTTTCATTTACCCCCATAAAACCACCCCATTCACCAACTGTTTTCTCAAAAATCACCCACTCTATTTTTTTTCTGTCACCGATTTTCTCTCTTCTTCTTCATCTACCTCTTCATATTTTTCCTTTTTTTTTTCCTTTTTTCTTCTAAAAACCTTCCATAGCCACCGCACCAAGCCCAAAAATATTTGTTCTCTCCGTTAAAAAAAGTGTCGTTGCAACACCATGGTCTGCTTAAAACCAAACTTTGTGCCTCAGCTTCATCTGCAGAGGCTACAAATTTCTAACATTTGCAGAGCGTTGAAGCCGAGTAAAAATTTCAGGCACTGTAGTGTCGGTAAATTTACCTTGAAGACAGCTTTGTGTTTCCCGCAGATGATGAAAAGTTATTTTATCTTGAAATGATGGAAATTATCAAGAAGGACAATTGGGAAAAATTTGTTAGACACTCAAAAGTTGTGGCACCGGTGTTAGTTGAGGAGTTTTACGCTCATCTAGGAGACATGTCTCAGCACTCGATGTATGTTCGAGGCAAGTTTATCCGATTCTCCCTATCCTCCATAAACCGTTACTTCAAGCTTGGCAAAGTCAAAAACTAGCATAAGAAATTCATTGTTGAGGCAGATTCTGAAACATATGACGGAGTCCTTGAACATTTATTCTTTGAATGGGAAAAATATGAGGGAAACACCCCTAATCACAAGAAAGTTGATCGTTGTGCTCTCAAGCCCATGACCAAGCTTTGGAACCACTTCCTCAAGGGCAAGATGATGCCCACATCTCACAACTTTACTGTGTTATTGAGGCGACTGATGCTTCTTCACTTAATCATCTACACACGATCAATAGATGCCGGAGAGATCATCTTCAAACAAATTCATGAGTATGCCAAGAAGGCTAGAGGTAACTTAATTTTTCCAAATTTAATTACTGCCTTGTGTAGGAAGAAGAAAGTGCCTGAGAAGCACTTGAAGGAATTTATTCGGCCCAAGGAGGGCATTACAAAGAGGAAGGTGCCAGAGTTGTTGAGTTTCAATGATGATGCCCCAGACGAAGGTCTTGAGTGCGGTGTAAAATCAGTTGTCGTGACAAGGATGACTGCCGTGGTGACTGTCACTCAAGAGATGTAGGAAAGGATGGAGCATCTGGAAGGGCACAAGAAGACCTTCTCTGTGTATGTTAAGGCAAGTGATGCCCAGCTTAATGCATTTTTCAAGAAGCTACTACCGATCTCCAGTGATGATCTCCCGCACTTCCCTGACGAGATCTTGACAAAGCCAACACCAACAGGCGAGCGCCCATTTTTTGGCGCGACGCATAATTTCCCTCATAACTCTCCACTTGATGCCACCCCACTTGCCATATAATTCTCCCCAGTTCCTGAAGAAGGACAAGGACAGACTGATGAGTACCTCAGTCTGACTTCCTCGAAGAGCACCGAGGTACTTCCACAAGAATTGTTCGATGAAGAGATTTCCCCAACAAAAGTTGTTACTGTGGCGGTTGGTGAACAACCCAATCTAGAGAATACCACTGAAGAAACCCCTGACCTAAATACTAAGCATTTTGTTGATACTGAAGAAATCCAGCCCTTGGAAGTTCCAGTTGAGAGCACCGAGAAGACGCCATGACAAGTTAGTCCACCCCAGGAATAGCTGTCGCCTCAAACACTCAACAAACCACACTAATATTCCACCTACATCATTGTTCCCCTCTAAAGAATATATATCTGAAAGCCCATCCCCTCTCAAAAGACGATGCACCAGATCATCCAGTAAGGTCAGCCCACCACAATGAGGTACCTCTCCACATTTGCATTTGCACATCATTTAGATTAATTTAACTTTCCTTAATTTTCATGCATTGAGGACACTGCATCCATCAAGTTTGGGGGAGGATTTTTGTTTCACTTAGTTAATTTCATTAATAATGTTTAGTAGAAATATTTTTTTTCATGGCAGAAATTATGATTAGGGTAGTTAATTAGATGAGTTAAGGATGCCCGATGATGAAAGAAATTTTTTATTAACTAGGCCAGAATTATTGTACATGACTGTTGAAGATGATAGAGCCAAATTAGGATTTGATTCTTTGTGATCCTTTTAACACGATTGTATCTTTTTTATTCTTAAGGTACTTAGAAAATTTTTAGGTCAGAACTTTTGAGCATCGAGGCATAAAATAATTGAGAAGAATAAGTTGACCTCCTTAGTGTTATGAATTACAAATAAATGCCTCAGCATAACTGTAGAGGGATACTTCTTCACACATGAGTGAATGAAAGCAGTCACGGGATGACTCTACCTAACTAGCTCGGGAGTGGAAGGTATACTTCATTTCACCTAGAGTGTGGGATGGTAGGAGTGATAGACTGACTCCCCTCGTAGCAATATTAAAAAAACTGACGTTAAATGTTGAATAAATAGGAGTGATGTTGTGCTTAATGAATAATTTTAAGCCTTGGAAAACTAGAAGAACTCTCTTAGGATTTTTCTAAATTCGTTAAGCATAGACTAGATATGATCACTCACACATACTGTCAAAGAGTCCTGACATAGGGAAAGGTACTTGACTTCTCATTCAATGTACCATGTTGAGGCCAAACTTGTTGTTGGGGGCTAAATTTTTAAACCACTTGATTGTCCTAATTTATACTATGCCTGGACACTTTATGTTTCTACTGCTCATTATCTATTGCTTGAGAATAAGTAATAGCTTAAGTTTTGGGGTGTGATAGCTCCGTTAAAAGATTATATTTTAGGTCTTTTTACTTAAGTTATTGATTTGTCTAAAAGGCATTGACATAGCATTTTAGTTGCATATAGTTGCATTTCTGCATGTAGTGGATAAGTTTTGCCACGAAAAGGTTTATTGCATTAAACTTATGGTGTTGATGAGAAGGGTTGTGTGTTGGATGTGATGATGTAGGTAATAGGAAATGACCGAGGAAGAATTTATTTGATGAGACAAATTCAGTGCCGGGGCCAAAGGAACAAAAGACGATGACCGTGAGGAATAATTTTTACCGCGACGAGTTTTATCTCGTAGGTGATGTAAGGTACTTGTACCTTTTCAAATGATTGTGGATCTAGGAAGGAAGCAAAACAACCTGCAAAGTGAATAGCTCAAAATAGAATGGTTAAGGGTGGTAGACGTGTGGGTGAATTGGTAGGCTATTTAAATAATGAGTAATGGAAGCGGAAGATAGTTGATAAGGCTATGGTTATGGAGATGAAATAAAAGGATGGTTGTGAGGATAGTATCTTGAAGAAATCTCAAAGAAGAACCAATGCTATAGAGAGCAGAGACCCAATCTATATATTGCTTCTTCAAAGGGTGGTGTTAAGTACTTTGACCCACTAGTTATATGAACTAGGAACCAGAAGTATCAAGATGAAAGAAAAGGGGTTGACGCCACAAGTATAAAATACTTGATAAGTCGATAAAAAGTCACCAGGACTTAAGAAGAGAATAATCTCACTTTAATTGAATAAAAGGTCTGTTTACAAATGAAATATGCTTTCCTATTTATAGGAAATGAAAGGATATGGCCGAATGGTTACAAGAGGATTCGACCAGCCCTTGTGCCTCTATAAAATGACATAATTTAATTACAAATAGAGATGATGGTTCGGTTTAAATGGAGGAAAATATCCTTTGGCCGAATAGTGCTTGTACCCCTTCAAGTTGGCGCCAAATTGGAGAGAAAGGAGTGCTTGGCCGAATGGTAAGAGGACTCTTCATCTTGGCGCCTAAATGAAGTCACACGCCTATCACATGGTGGTCTGGTCACAAGGCGTGCACATGGCCTCTATAGGATGCTTGTGGTGTAGCCTTGCGCATGGAATGATGGCTGGTCATGTGCTCCATCTTGGGCGTGCATGTGTCTCCTTCCAAGCTAGCTTGAGTGTTGAGCTAGCTAGCAAGAATGGGGCTGTTTATGAATGATCTTCCTAGCCGAGTCGTTTTGAGCTCCATAACAGCATGTTCAGCTACATTCAGCTACCTTTGTCATCACTTTTAGCAACTCAGCTTCAAATAGTCCAACTAGCTAAGTTTAGCTAGCTTGAAGCTTCTCCAGCTGAATCGAGCTTCCCTTAGCATTCCATGAGTTGCCTTGTACTTTGTGAGCTGTTTGTGAGCTGTATGTGACTTCCAAATCGTTCACCAAGCTACCTCAACGTGCATCATACTCCATTGTACCTATATGTGCAAGGAAACAAGGTAAGTTCTTGATATTGAGCTAAAACGAGCTAAATACCTTGCTGCCATGTTTGTTTATGGTAATGTGAGCTAAGTATGATGGTCATGAGCTAAGTACATCATCTCCTAATATGTGTAAGATAATGTATAAAGCCTAAGAGTTAACATGAATGCAAATAAACTAATGAAATGCATTATAAGTATGCTGCCTTGATGTATATATAATAATCATGCATAATATGATAATAAAACTATCCTAACATTATTAACATATTAAAATAACAATGTGTAATATGAATTCATACTAAGTTACTCTTTAGCTATTAAAACATTATATAACATAACATTAGAGAGTGTTAAGTTATCAAATGAATCAAAAGCTTCAAGACACTTAGTTAAGAGAACTTCCCTGAATTGTTTGGCCCTTGACCTAGTAATGGGACCATGTGGCATGACCTCCGGATCTGGTGTAGACGTGACTATATCATCCCCCCCTTCTTTTAAGCGATTTGTCCCCAAATCGTGTCCATCCTCAAAGGGAGATAAGTCAGTGATGTTAAATGAAGCACTGACGCCACCAAACTCACTGGGCAATTCAATTTTATAGGCATTGTCGTTGATCTTTTCTATAATCTGAAATGGACCATCTCCTCGGGGTAGTAGTTTAGACTTCCTTTGGTTTGGGAATATTTCCTTCCTAAAGTGTACCCAAACCCAATCTCCTACGTCAAAAGTTACCTTCTTCCTTCCTTTGTTTGCTTGTTGTTCATATTGTCTTGTTCTTCTCTCAATATTGTCCTTGACTTGTTGATGGAGTCTTTTAACAAATTATGCTTTGTTCTTTCCATCTTTGTTTACTATCTGATCATAAGGTAAAGGAAGTAAATCCAAAGGAGTTAAAGGATTGAAACCATACACTACCTCAAATGGAGAATGTTTAGTTGCCGAGTGAATGGTTCGGTTGTATGCAAATTCCACGTGTGGTAGGCATTCTTCCCATGTCTTAATATTTTTCTTGATGATGGATCGTAGTAGTGTTGATAAAACTCTATTAACTACTTCAGTTTGGCCATCCGTTTGAGGATGACATGTAGTAGAGAATAGTAGTTTTGTGCCTATTTTACTCCACAAAGTCCTCCAAAAATGACTTAGGAACTTAACGTCTCTATCTGACACAATGGTTCGAGGAAGTCCATGTAACCTTACCACTTCTCGGAAGAATAAGTTGGCAACAAGAATAGCATCATCAGTCTTGTGACATGGTATAAAGTGAGCCATTTTGGAGAATCGATCAACCACCACAAATATTGAATCTTTTCCACTCTTTATTTTTGGTAAACCTAAAACAAAGTCCATTGAAATATCTATCCAAGGCATGGTTGGTATTGGCAAAGGCATGTATAATCTATGAGGCATGGCTCTTGATTTTGCCCTTTTACATACTAAACACCTTTCACATACCTTTTCATCTTTGGCCAAAAGAGGTGTTCTTTCAGAATGCTAAGAGTCTTTTCAACTCCAAAGTGTCCCATAAGTCCTCCTTCATGTGCTTCTTTGGTTAACACTTCTCTTATGGAACCTTGTGGAATACATAATCGTCATTCTTTGAAAAGATATCCATCATGCTGATAATACTTATCATGAGCACCTGTTTCACATAACTTATACCTTTCTCCAAAGTCCAAATCAGTAGCATAATGTTCCTTAATGAATGAAAAACCAAGAAGTTTGGAATCCAAAGTGTTAAGTAAGACATACCTGCGTGAAAGAGCATCTGCCACGACATTATCCTTTCCTCTCTTATAATGGATGACATAGGGAAAAGACTCAAGAAATTCAACCCATTTGGCATGTCTCTTGTTAAGTTTGTGTTGTCCTTTGATATGCTTTAATGCTTCATGGTCAGTGTGTATCACGAATTCCTTTGGCAATAAATAATGCTGCCAAGTTTCCAATGCTCGAATGAGTGCATACATCTCTTTGTCATATGTTGGATAGTTCAGAGTTGCACCATTTAGTTTTTCACTAAAATAGGCAATGGGTTTTCCTTCTTAACTTAAAACAGCACCAATTCCAATTCCGGAAGCATCACATTCAACTTCAAATGTTTTCTCAAAGTTTGGCAAGACTAGTAATGGGGCTTTTGTCAAACAATCTTTGAGTTCGTTGAAAGATTTGTCTTGTTCATTGCCCCAAGAGAAGTTTGAATTCTTCTTAATAATCCCTGTTAAGGGTGCAGCAATGGAACTAAAGTTTGGTACAAACCTTCTGTAAAAACTGGCTAATCCATGGAAACTTCGAACTTGACTGACATTAACCGGTTTTGGCCATTCTTGTATTGCCTTAATCTTCTCTGGATCCACTGATAGTCCCTGTGAACTTACAATAAAGCCTAAGAAAGTAACTTGATTAGTACAAAAATCACACTTCTTGAGATTAGCATATAAATGCTCTTCTCTCAAAGTGCTAAGAATAGATCGTAAGTGTTCAACATGATCTTTCAATGACTTACTGTATATCAAGATATCATCAAAGTAAACAACACAAAACTTACCAATATAAGGCCGAAGGACATGATTCATTAAACGCATAAAGGTACTAGGGGCATTAGTCAAGCCAAAAGGCATGACTAACCATTCATACAAACCTTGTTTGGTCTTGAACGCAGTTTTCCACTCATCACCTTCCTTTATTCTTATCTAGTGGTAGCCACTTTTCAAATCAATTTTGGAGAAAATATTGGCCCCGCTAAGTTCATCAAGCATATCATCCAACCGAGGTATAGGGTGCCTATATTTGATAGTGATTTGATTCACTGCTCTACAATCCACGCACATTCTCCAAGTTCCATCTTTCTTTGGTACCAACAAAACGGGGACAGCACATGGACTTAAGCTTTCTCGAATGTAACCTTTGTTTAGGAGTTCTTTGACTTGTCTTTGCAATTCCTTTGTTTCTTCAGGATTACTCCTATATGCTGGTCTATTAGGAATGGTGGCTCCAGGAATGAAATCAATTTGATGTTCAATTCCTCTAATCGGTGGCAATCCATCGGGAATTTCCTCAGGAAACATATCCTCAAATTCCTGCAAAAGATTAGAAATAGAAGAAGGCAAACCTTTAGGAGGGTTAGTAAGAAGAAAACTTTCCTTATACATAAGTATAAGTAGAGCTTTCTTAGTTGATAAATGTTTCCGAATATCTCCTCTGCTGGCATAGATATTCATCTTTGGAGTATGGATTTCTTTGGCCTTCTTTCTTTCTCCCATTCTTCTATGCGTGATTTGAGGGTCACTTGACATTCCTGAACTTGGCTTGGTAACAAAGGTGCCAATATGATTTTCTTTTCCTGATGTTGGAATGAGTACTTGTTAGAGAATCCGTCATGGGTGGCTTTCTTATCATATTGCCAAGGACGTCCTAGTATAAGGTGACTTGCACTCATTGGCACCACGTCACAAAGGACTTCATCATTGTATCTTCCAATTGAGAAAGGTACAATCACTTGCTTGGTTACATTGGCTTCTCCCACATCGTTGAGCCATTGGAGTTTGTAAGGATGAGGATGTTTGGAAGTCTTGAGACCCAACTTTTCTACCATGTGAGTACTTGCTACATTGGTACAACTTCCTCCATCAATGATCACCACACAAATTGTATCTCCCACGTGACATTTGGTATGGAAGATGTTTTCTCTTTGTTCATCATCTTGACTTTGAATGTTCAAAGTCCTTTTGACTACAAAAATGTTGGATGGAAAAGACATGTTAGCAAATAAGGAAAAATTGAAATGTGTGTAGGACCTTACCAGAATATACTCTCACAAAGCCTCACGAGTCACTCCAAGAAAAACTTGATGTCACTCAATCCGCTCGTGTTTGCACTCTAGGACTTTTAATGGCTTTTACTTGTCCTCTTCTGATCTCACACACGCTCCAGCCTTTTTTCCCTCAATTCTCTTGTCTCAAGTTCTAATGAACTTTTACTCAAGACTATATCGAGTAATTTCACTTGTTTGGCGTCGGCTGCAAATGGTTAGTAGGAATGAAAAACAAATATAATTGAAAAGGTGGCTTAGAAATTAGAAAGAAGAGAATGAAAGGGTTACTTACACAAGTCACTTCACAACCTTCTATCACCACAATCAATTTTAAAGGCTTACTTGAAAATGCTTGGTGATGAGAATTGTTGATGAGTGCTTCCAACTTTTCTTTCTTTTCTTTGCTTTTTCTTCTTTTTGAGTGCTTTGAATTTTGAGTCCTTCAATTTTTCTTTGCTGATTTTTTTTTCTTCTTTGACTTTGCACTTCATTTTTGCACTTCTTTTTGTATTTTTCTTTTTGTTGTTGTTGCACGTTGCTTCTTCCACCAAAGCTCTGATTACCGCTTGATGTAAGGTACTTGTACCTTTTCAAATGATTGTGGATCTAGGAAGGAAGCAAAACAACCTGCAAAGTGAATGGCTCAAAATAGAATGGTTAAGGGTGGTAGACGTGTGGGTGAATTGGTAGGCTATTTAAATAATGAGTAATGGAAGCGGAAGATAGTTGATAAGGCTATGGTTATGGAGATGAAATAAAAGGATGGTTGTGAGGATAGTATCTTGAAGAAATCTCAAAGAAGAACCAATGCTATAGAGAGCAGAGACCCAATCTTTATATTGCTTCTTCAAGGGGTGGTGTTAAGTACTTTGACCCACTAGTTATATGAACTAGGAACCAGAAGTATCAAGATGAAAGAAAAGGGGTTGACGCCACAAGTATAAAATACTTGATAAGTCGATAAAAAGTCACCAGGACTTAAGAAGAGAATAATCTCACTTTAATTGAATAAAAGGTCTGTTTACAAATGAAATATGCTTTCCTATTTATAGGAAATGGAAGGATATGGCCGAATGGTTACAAGAGGATTCGACCAGCCCTTGTGCCTCTATAAAATGACATAATTTAATTACAAATAGAGATGATGGTTCGGTTTAAATGGAGGAAAATATCCTTTGGCCGAATAGTGCTTGTACCCCTTCAAGTTGGCGCCAAATTGGAGAGAAAGGAGTGCTTGGCTGAATGATAAGAGGACTCTTCATCTTGGCGCCTAAATGAAGTCACACGCCTATCACATGGTGGTCTGGTCACAAGGCGTGAACATGGCCTCTCTAGGATGCTTGTGGTGTAGCCTTGCGCATGGAATGATGGCTGGTCATGTGCTCCATCTTGGGCGTGCATGTGTCTCCTTCCAAGCTAGCTTGAGTGTTGAGCTAGCTAGCAAGAATGGGGCTGTTTATGAATGATCTTCCTAGCCGAGTCCTTTTGAGCTCCATAACAGCATGTTCAGCTACATTCAGCTACCTTTGTCATCACTTTTAGTAACTCAGCTTCAAATAGTCCAACTAGCTATGTTTAGCTAGCTTGAAGCTTCTCCAGCTGAATCGAGCTTCCCTTAGCATTCCATGAGCTGCCTTGTACTTTGTGAGCTGTTTGTGAGCTGTATGTGACTTCCAAATCGCTCACCAAGCTACCTCAACGTGCATCATACTCCATTTTACCTATATGTGCAAGGAAACAAGGTAAGTTCTTGATATTGAGCTAAAACGAGCTAAATACCTTGCTGCCATGTTTGTTTATGGTAATGTGAGCTAAGTATGATGGTCATGAGCTAAGTACATCATCTCCTAATATGTGTAAGATAATGTATAAAGCCTAAGAGTTAACATGAATGCAAATAAACTAATGAAATGCATTATAAGTATGCTGCCTTGATGTATATATAATAATCATGCATAATATGATAATAAAACTATCCTAACATTATTAACATATTAAAATAACAATGTGTAATATGAATTCATACTAAGTTACTCTTTAGCTATTAAAACATTATATAACATAACATTAGAGAGTGTTAAGTTATCAAATGAATCAAAAGCTTCAAGACACTTAGTTAAGAGAACTTCCCTGAATTGTTTGGCCCTTGACCTAGTAATGGGACCGTGTGGCATGACCTCCGGATCTGGTGTAGACGTGACTATATCAGTAGGTCTGACACAGTACAATATAAAATTGCTGACATCGTGTAGTCAGTTTTCCAATGCATCTCACATGAACCCCTTCCCCAACTAAGAATTTGGGACCACTGCCAGCTGCTATTTTATTCAAACAATGGGTATGAATTTTAGGGGTATGTAGGGAAATTTCAAGGGAACTAAACCCTAGAAATTCCCACTATAAATATCACATTATACCCTCCAAAAGATAGACATATACCCTACCAAAAAGGCTTGGAGAAAGGAGACTGCAACTTCTTCCTTTTCCACCGCTATGCTCTTGCCCGTCCTTGGTGCCCTCCATAGCCAGGCTTCGGTTGAGCAGCGGCCAGGCCCTCGAGAGAGGCTGGTGCGCTAGAACAGTCATGGTGGTGGTCTGATGTCATGGTAGAGCTCTGTTCTGGGAGTTTTTCTTCCTCTTGTTCTTCATTTCTTATCTTTAAAGGGCTTATATTTAATGGATATTGTTTTGGGATGATATTATTTACACCATGAATTATTTTATTTGGTGTTGGAAATGCTTGGATGATATTTTATTTGATAGTTAATGAATGATTAAGTATATTTTTGTTAAATGTTGTTTTGTTCACTGTTGTTATCTTTTTCCTTGACACTATAAGAGCTTTTGAAAGATTGTCTAGTGTCAGGGTAAAACATTCATAGTCTTTGTAAGAACTTTTGAAAGATTGCCATTTTTCTAGGAGTTGATACCTAATATTCGAAATAGTTAGGTTAGATCTACGTTAACAAGGGAACTTATCTGAGATGGTGAGGTTCTAATCCGCCTTAGAGATAAGGAGAAGATTTCATTCGACTAAAAGGGATAAATGTTTAAGTAGATATGCTAGCGCTACTGTTTACGCTAAGGGGTATTGCCGTAGCAATAGATTGACAAACCAAGGGATGCAGTTAACGTTGAGTAGTATTACTGTATCAATAGTTTATCAGGTTTCATGTTAGAGATACTCTTAAAACAATATTATATATCATGTCGGGTAACATAGGCATAGCATACTAGATCATCCTAGACATAAAATAATTTCTCGCCGAAGTAAATCCAACCCAGTTATTTCTCCCTCCAAAAATTCCCAAATTAGAAATAAAATTCCCAACCCCGAACCCTAGCCCATTGGCCTCTTTGTTGCCAATTCTTCACCGTCTAGCCATCGTTTTCGGCGCTACCACCCCCGTTCGGTCCGTCTTTGACTGGCGACCAATACCCCTACATCTTTCTACCTTAAAACGATGTCTATCATTGTGAATTTAGTCACAAAGCTTTGACGAGTAACCTAACCCCGATCGCCTAAGATTTACGTCGATTACGGCCAAACTTTCGGCCATAGTGTCTCACCGCTCCAACATCGTGTTCCCCAGCCAATTCCGATCAAAACCAGACCGAGGTTTCCATTTACCGTCATTGTTTTCACCGACCGCCAATGTATGTAAGTGTTTCAGACCTCTTCTTTTAATTCCGATATATTTTTGGGTAATTGTTGATGTTATTGGATCGATTTTGTCAAGTACATGAACAGGGAATAATCGGTTGACCAATCGGACCTCCATCACCGTCGCACGCTTAGCTACGCGCCGGCAGTACTTGTGAGCTTCTTCCCTTGCCTTGGAAGCTTCTGGACCGATCCAACCAGTCTGTACCAGCTCAAATCGGTCAACCCGACCCATCTGCCTGACCCGCCTGATCCGATCCGACACGACCATCCCTGTCTGGCTCGGTCCAGTTACTGAGTCAACTCGTTGATTTTGACCGAGTCAACTATTTGACCATTGACTTTGACCGGTTAGACC